TCGGACTATAAAGGTACTGTAAGAATGCAACAGACACTTCTTTAATGACAAGTTTACTGTCACCATTTGACGCAAGTTTACTGTCACCATTTGGCGCACCCCCGCACGATTGGGTGTCTGTTGTTAAGCATCTAGCCGTAACATTCTAAGCCTGCATTGTTTCACATGGTACAAGTTTGGTAACACCTCAAAAGCTACTCCAGGGCAGGGTTTCATACCACCAGGTAAAAAGTGGTGCTAACACTTCTTCTAAATTACAAGTGTAAAATGTTCCTCTACCCAGGTTAAAAATTAGTTTTAGATAAGCGGGGGTTAAGCACAGTGTGAAAAGCCCTAAAGAGATTTTTACACACACTAATTCTCAAACGAATGCTTAAGCTTGGAGAGCAATCTCAGTAAAACCTTGAGCTTGCAGATCACAAACTGAAGCTTGGCCTCCACAAACTTTGGCCTCTACCATTCCAATGTTAACAATGCTGCATCTCAATGCTAACCTTCACTGATATAGAAATAGACAAGCAATTGCCCCAAAGAGAGAGAGTTGCCTTGCTGTCTTTGCTTTTCACGGTCTTTTTATTGGCAATTCAAAAGAATATTTCTGCAAGAAAAAAAAAACATTCTGCCATCATTTACTGTCGTTAGCTGTACCTTCAATTATGACACAAAAGTACAATAAAAATATTTTTGCATCAGTTTTTAAGCTTGAAAGCTTCAGCATATTAGCTCTAAATAGTCTAGTACATGATTCAAAATTGCTCATTTTCTGTTTAATGAAAGAACATATATGTTTGAAAGAAAATGGGATTGAGTAAAAAATTTTTTTTTCAATTTTAGTTTGAAGTATTACTTTAACCCAGTGGTTGTTTAGATCACATTTTCTAGCACATACTTCTCAGCATTTATAAAACACATCCGGTTTTATTATTTACACTGTGTGGGAGTGTACATTAATATTTATGTTTTACCAGAAAATATTCTGAAAGAGTCTTCATAATGGCATTTCTTAATATCCAAATTAATAAATGCTGATTGTCTTCCGGTTTGCTGCCATTTTCTTACACTTCGCACTTACATGTTCCACATGCCTGCACACACACACCCCCACACACACACAAAGTGAAGGTGAAACAAGTGGAGTGAGGACAAGTGGATGTTGTGTCTTTATAGATTCAGATCAAATGTCAAGGACATGAGTCTGTATTTACATGACAGAGAATGTGTGCCAAAAGATCCCCGTAATCTCAGGTGTCGCTCTAGACTTTCAGAAGAGATGTCTTTTATAATATTGTCTTATGTTCAGATTTGATATAGCGGCAATGAGAAGTTAGAGATTTCAATACACTTAGCTACTGTACACTTGCAATACATGTCAATAAAGATTTTAAAAGAGAAACAGTTAATACTTTAGAATATAGGGTCTATATATATTTGGGGGGCAAACTATTGCTTTAAATGTATATGCAAAATTAAATTGATACTGCTTCTTGGAAGTTTCGCAACAGTTTTAAAATGAAATATCAAGTGTGTGGCACTAAAATGTCAAGTGAGTGGTGCTAAAAGCATGTTCAGTTTTATCCAAAACAGATTAACATGAATCTGGAAAAAGTTTATTACATTGGTTGTTGTATGTATTTTTCGCAGTTCAGAAATTAAATGAAATTAAATGTTTAAAAGTTTGGTCATTTTTTAAAATAAAGCAAATGTGAGTTAAAAATGCATTTGCTGAAGTGACCATGTCATTTTAGCCTGCTTCTACAAGTCTCTGAGCTCTTTTATTTTGATCAGATATCAAGGTGAGTTATTGCAAGGTGAGTTACCAAGCAAGTTTACTACATCAAAGCCATACATATTGAGCTCCTTACTTCATGTTACCATTAAATTGTATAATTTTACTAATCTTGCACTACGGTAAAACTGGTTTTGGGCAAGGAACCACACAAAAAGCCTTTATTATTCAATAATCAGCCCCTGTAATCATAATTTGTGTGGAAAGGAATAAAAGTCATTGGTGTTTTACTCCCACTACTGTTCATTTTAGCTGAAATCTTCAGTGAACAGTGTAGATGTTTTGTAGGTTGAAGCAATGAGCCTACTGTAGGTTGAACATAACAGATGACTCTAGTCTCTTCAGCTTTGAAATGGCAACCTCTGAGAAATAAATACTTTCCTCTGGGTGTTTTAAGTATAATCAGCCCTGTACACCACATCTCATTTGTAAGTTGCTTTGGGTATTCACATCTGCTAAATGATTAAATGTAAAAGACCAAGAGTTATATATGGAATTTTTGCAGTCTGAATCATATTTTAATAGCACACGTACACAGCACATGAAAAAAAGGCTGCTTACACTAGATACTATTAAACTGCTTGGTTGCATCTACTGTAGACAGTCAGAGAAAACTGGAATGAAAGGCTGACAAGGTGAAGACCAGAGTTAAAAGAGAAATTAATCAAAGCTTATGAGAAGCGAGACAAGAGGCATGACATTAAAGCAAATGTAAGTGAAGCCTAAAGTAACAGACAGCAACAGCCTTTAGCAAAGCAAATAATGAAAACAAACACTGGAGTCTAATGACACACAAAGCAAGGTTTCTTTTTCCACGCTTAAATACACCTACATCTGAATACATGTGTGTGAGTTTGTCATTTGCATCAGGGTGCAATATTGATTAAATCTCAGTGGTTTGATGCTTATACTCACAGTCACACAATGACACTGAGCTTCAGCTTCCCAATACACAGGCCTTAAACCATAGATGTGTATACATAGAATCCACATCCAGCCACTTTAGACACATCACCGCGTTTGTCATCTTGGAACAGTCAACATGTTGTCACTCAAAGTAAAAATCAATGAGCTTTCCAAGATGCCACAACATTGGCCTCTGGTCATAAAAACCGTCAAGATTTAAATGGCTTACGTATAGTGGCTCATAGAAACAGCCACTAAAAAGGAATATGTGTATATACACATATATATCTATGCCTTGAAAAATGCATAACACAGAGCACACAAATAAAATACATTGATCAGCAACAGGTGAATTTTAAGGAAAATGTAAATACCCTTCAAACAAACAATTAAGTGTATTTAAAATCGTAAATGTATATTTACAAAATAACTGTACTTAAATAAAAGGCAACTTAAGTATGGAATAAAAGGTATACTTTAAAGGGATAGTTCACCCAAAAATGAAAATTCTGTCACTCGCACTCATGTCATTCCAAACCCGTAAGACCTTCGTTCATGGTCGGAACTCAAATTAAGGTATTTTTGATAAAATTTCTGACAGACTGAAGACTAACAAGGAAGAGAAGAAATTGTTGAATAAAGTAATTTTTGTTTTCTTTGCGCATAAAAAGTATTCCCGTAGCTTGATAAAATTAAGTTTGAACCACTGATGTCACATGGACTATTTTATCGATGTCCTTACTA